ATGTGGGCTCTTATCATTAAAGGTGGAGGCCACTCAACGCTTCGTCTTCGACCCACACGCATCCACGGGAAATATAACCTGCGCTCCAGTCTCAACCCTTGACCCAACCTTGACCTGCTCGTCGTCTTCTATCTGCTCGGTTTACTATCGGAGTGGCTTGGGAAGTCGAATATATCGAAACAGTTGAAGTAATGTGGAGTAAAAGTCTCGTTCAGGCCGAGTTGTACGGCTTGGAGTTAGAACGTTTAAAGTCCGTCATACAGAGAGAATCTGCAGAGAAATAGACCTCCATCGACGAACAGTGATTTATAGAGGATTATAGAGAGATATCGGGCCGCTAAAGCTCGTAGGTGGTAGTTTAGGGGCAAAGTGAGAATGATGTCGGAGTCCAAATTTGCATTGGACCCTGGCCGCGTTCTTTCGATAACCACAGTCGCTCTCTTTCCAACCAAATATATTCACTATTCACAATAAATCAGCTTTATTTGCACGAATATGCGACTCGGGGTCTCCAACATCATACGCGTGAGACAGTTCCTTAACCAGAAATCCTTTGCGTCTTCGTTGGCGTCCGTGTCAAGTCCACCCAAGATAGCGTTCGCGTTTGATATCGCAAGTTCTCCGTTCCACTTAGCCCCAAATGTATTCTAACTTGCCGTTGGGGTTTTCATGTGTCGGGTCGTAAACTTGTCGAATATGCAATTCTTAGGACGGCGTATTGACCCAAGGTTCTCATGTTCTACCCCAAGCAAAGCGTACTTTACGTCTCCTAGAAGGAAACAATATCTGGGGAAAGTATGTCTACATTTGTCCTGTTCATGACGTGTTCCTAAACAACTTTTAGAAAGTTCCCTTATATCCTCGTTCGCAATTTCACTCTTCATTCTGATTCTATGGCTTATTTACTGAAAAGATGACAAACGGAGGAGGCAAACCCGAGACGGAACGTTGTAAGGAGCTAAGCGAAAAGCTAGAAACAAATGTAAGTAACAAATTGCTACCTCGCTTTCGTGATGTGAGTCTAAACTAGATTTAGATAGACCTCAGCATGTTCATGCAGTCGCACACTATTATCGGATCACCAGTGTTGCCGTTTTTGGAAAGGTATAAGGAAAAACCGATCATGGTACTAGGCGGAAAGGGTGACGTTTGTCGTCATATTGCAACGAGGTGACTCTTTATGGGCCATAATTCTGCGGGTTCACCACTGACTCGTATTGGCAGCTATGGATTTCAGAATGTTTTCATACCAGCCGACGTGATGGCATGGAACCCGGAGTAAGCTGGTATTTCGTGAGCATTGTCGAACGTGGTTAACGTGCTTTATAGCGTTTGGCCGTTCCACCAACTTTCTCCTGCAGAGCAAAGTTTAGCGAGGGTAAATCTCCTCATCTATCAACCATATTGTCCACTAACAAATCGATTCAGAAAGACGTCGACTTTGCCTCTCTTCCAATCGAGGCCATCTTCGTCTTCAATGATCCGCTGAACTGGGGATCAGATGTACAGAT